ACACACACACACACACACACACACACACACACACACACACACACACAAAACAGTCGAATTGAGAACGTCTCCTTTTTAAAGTCGGTTAATTAAAGAGATTCATCGCGTTATTTAATCCATGTAGTAGCCACACTGACATTAATTAGTGCGTAGCAAGGGCGTAACAGGATAGGACATGGGTTTCCTGTGCATTTTTTTATCATACACCATCTTTTTTTAACCATTGGTTTTCCTTAATTGACAATTTCACACTCATGAAATAACATAACGCAGCAGCTTCAAGCTCCATCTTGGAATGATACTTTCAACGTATAATTTATTGACATTAGATCGTAGTGTGGCCACTTTATTTCACGTGATATTTTAGGCAGTATTTTTACGCCTCAATTATATATTGGGCGTTACACATTAACCTTGGTGTGACCTTGAGCCGTCAAATTCATTTTAATATGATTTCCTGGTTTCATCGTTAGTGAATAACGTTTTAAGTCAATTTTATATTTAATTGCATTACATAAATACAAATTTCAACCAAAATAGCTGAAATTCCTTTACACTTTTGTGATAAATGTGTAAAAAGGCTCCAGGAACCAAAAGGTCCTCGGAGGTCAGGTATCTTAGGGCATTGACTATACTTGAAAAAACTCATTTGTGTTGTAAGGGAACTTTGTGAAAGAATCGGAATTTGTATCTACTTCCGATTGTCCACGATCTCAGCATGTTCCAGTGCACCTGTGTTAACATATATGTTGTTTTCATATTCCCTCCGCTCCTGACAGCGCATCCTTGAACCCGTGGTGAGTTACCGTCCAATGACGCTTACAATTTACCTGTAGTTAGTTTTCGTACTCTTGGTATAATAAAACTACAGATACGTCGAAGGTGCTTTTATTATATGAAATTCAATAAAATAGTACGAATACAAGAAACAAATCGATCCCTCCTACGTAAAGAATCGTAAGCCCACATTTACAACTTTACAGGTGAGCGTTTTGAAAAGCCGAGGAAAACTGTTTGCTACATCGATTGTTGAAGTATTTAAGTAATCTTCTTATCTTCAAAAATATACGATTTACTTAAGGATATTTTCTAAAGAATGTGCTAATTTGTTGCAAGATAGGATGCACTTTACCCGATCATATGAAATCCGGAAATACCGAAATATCTAACTTTACACGTAATTTTTAATTCAACTGAATTAAACTCACACTTATCCCAGAACTTAAAATTGCCCAATAACGACCCCGTCCCGTCAGCCGCCATCGGGCGCTTATCAACGTCGGATCGATGTCAAATCATTTTATCAATCATTTTACTGCTGTGTATTATACAATCTGTTGATTTGCATTCATGCCATATTTACAGAGGTTATTCTATATCCAAAACTGAACCCAAATCACTAGAAAAATAAATCTCAAAATGAAAATTCCAATTTTTATTTAATTGCGGTAAACTTGATCCAAAGATCATTAACTTTTGCACGTGGCATGTCACCAGACTGAAGACCGAGAAAACAGAAGCCAGTGTTGTTATTTCTTTCCCATAGGTAGCTGCAGTGCCCTCGCTCATACATTGGGATGCAACAGAATATTTTTTTAATATTTTTTGGATGATTTAGTATTATTTATATTATTAATTTCTTAAATATGACGAGAACGCAAATCAACACGCTGTATATCTACTAAAAAATAAGTGGTTTTTGAAAAAATGCACCTATTTTTGTGACACGATAGATTACGTCGGAATAATCGAAATTAAGCTACCAACTAATTTAGTTCGTAGAATATTTAAACCTCTCACCTGAAAAGTTGCCATTCTGTAGATGTGACCTTATTATATCAAGGGTGCGATTTGTCGACCAATATCCGAATGTTTTTGCAACACAAATCTTTTCACATTCCATTCCACAAAGAAAACATTACACATTATAATGTGTAATGTTTTCTTTTCGTTCAATTGTTTATAATGAAACCTTTAAGGTTATGAACTAAGTGCCTCTACACGGAACATCACAGCATGCAATAGCAACAATGTGAAATAAAATATACAGGAGACATCACACGGCTATGCCACACGGAGGGATAGTACCTTAAATATCGCTGATAGAAATTTTACGGAATGAAGACTTCATTTTGATTTTAATAATAATTTGAGCTGCATTCAAAAATTTTTAAATAATCACCTGTTTGAACCGGAAATCGAACCCGCCAAATGTGAAAAAAACAACATCGGAGACCTCAATCATAAGAATTATTTTCTTCTAAATGACATACCATCTTAAATAAAAGGAAAACCATGAATTTTATTTGAAATTTTGTTCAAGAACTTTTAAAAATTATATTTTAAAAGCTCAAAAAAAATATTTAGAAGAAAACAATCCTTATGATTGAGGCTTATGATCAGTATTGTAAAATTACTTAATTAAGTGTTTGTTTTTCTCACATTTGGCGGGTTCGATTCCCGGTTCAAACAGGCGATTATTTAAAAATCTTTATATACAGTTTGAATCGTTTTTAAAATCATCAATCAAGTCTTCTTTCAGTAAAATTTTCTACCTTCGGTATTTAAGATACTTTCCTTCCGTGTGGCATAGCCGTGTGACACCCTGTATGTATAAAAATAGTATAGAGAACACCAACATGGTACACCTGCCCCCTCGACTGACACCACTTGCATCATGCCACGTCTTGTAACTGCTATAGCCAACATAATAACAATGAAAATAAAACAAATATACAATTCATAATAATAAAATTCTCCATAGGCGGACTCGGCAACCCCGTTCAACTACAACCCGCATCCAGTGGACATGACGAACTTAACGCTGTCAAGAGAGATGCAGAATATGGCAGAACGATTGGCTGAGAATGCGCACGATATTTGGGCGAAGAAGAAGAAAGAAGAACTTGTCATTAACGGAGGTAAGAACAAGAAGCTAAAGTATCGAGATCTAATCTAATAAACGCTAGGCGTAACAATGTTAAAAAAAATTCAAAGAAAGAACAAAAATCTAAGATCGAAGGAATTTTTCTTTGAGTTGTTCTATTTTTGTATCAATAAAAATAAACTAGAGGTGTATCTGGTTCAGTTAGATGCGGTTGAAATGTTCACGCTTTGTTTTGACACGTATTACAAGCAGAGCTGAATACGAGCTGGAGCTAAGTCTTCTGACCAAATGCAAATAGATATAAGTGCGTTCTTCGTCTGTACTTTTTTATTGCTATAATATGATAATGAAATCACTTAATCGCTGTCCCACAGGTGGCATTCACCCACAACTGGTACCCTACGATCTTCTCACCGACAAGGAAAAGAAGAAGGACCGAGAACGTTCGCAAGAGTTTCTCAAATATTTGCAATACCAGGTTAGTTTGATTCATTCTTTTTGTTTCATTGATTTTTGTTTATGATTATCAAGTAACGAATGTAGAAACAGGTTGTAGTACCACTCAGGACATCTTTTGATATTGATCTCCTAATAAATCTTGGTTGCGCTCTTCATTCAGTAGGTTAGGTTAGTATATGAAAAAGCAGCACAAACGGCGAGTGCCAGAAGCTAATTTGCTTGCGTTTCCAAAAATGGTTTCAGATCAAATTATATTATAATTAATAATAATATATATTAGTACGCAAATATAATCAACGTTTACTTAGTTTTAATAATCTCAGTACAGAGTACTAAAAAAACCGACCTCAAAAGTACGTGGACTTACGTCTATTTGCTAAGTTTTATTGAAATATCCCCTAGTTCGCCACTATACAGGACTTGACACTGGAGATAATAAAAATAGGTTCTCACTACGACACTACTCAAAGTACATATATTGAGAGAAAAACGCCTTGAATTGGAGAAATAGCAAAAACCATAAAAGTAATTGCTCCTAAATTAGAGTTAGGCGCTATTTATAAAAATAAATCTTCATGCGTGAACAGCTTCGAGGTGGATGATTTTCTTCAAAATGAAATGGGACCACTATGGAAGTGTACCCCCTTTACAACAAAAAAAGAATCATGAAAATCGTTTCACAAATACCGGAGTTATCGCGTAACATACATACAAAAAAAAAAACAAAAAAAAGAACATATAGTCGAATTGAGAACCTCCTCCTTTTTTTAAGTCGGTTAAAAATACGTATCTTTTATTTTTAATGCTCTTATTAGTTTTGAGGCCCAACATAAAACTATTAAAGTTAATTTATACAAACCGCCCGTCACCGACTTAAAGTTGATAAGTGTAATGGGCGCCTGTAGTTTACCTTTTTTTTTTCAATAATTTGACGACCTCTGTTGTCGACTGGTTTGTACAAAGGTTTTTGTGTGTCGATCTCTGACGTCCCGGATTCGCTCCCCAGCATTTATAGAAAAACTAACTTTTCTATATTGTCTCGGGTCTGAGGTGCTCTCCTGTTTTCTGTTTTTTAAATTAAAAAACGCATGATGCGAATGAAGCTTTATACTTACGAACGGGAGAACGGGAGTATACTCCCTGGGTGTGGTGCCGTTGTTGTTTCTGATTTCCATAACACAAGTGCTTTAGTTACTTACTTTGGGATCAGAGCAACGTATGTGATGTCTACGTGGGGCGCACTATAAGTTTCCGGAATGAATAAGAAAAAAATACTTATAAATGGTCAGAAATGAATTTATTGTTTCTCAAAATATTCTCCGTTAGAGTTAATGCACTTTTTCATACGAATGAACCAATTTTGATAACATTTAAGCCACTCCTCGGTGACAATCTCTGGAACATATTTTTTTACTCTTCGACAGCCTCTTCAGGTGATGAAAGTCGTTGACCGCGTAACTGGTTCTTAATTTTTGGAAGTAAATAAAAGTCACAAGGTGCCAGGTCGGGACTGTAAGCGGGATGGCTCGTAAGATCAACGTTGTTCACCTTCAAAAATTCATTTGTCTGTCTGGCCTTATGAGAACTGGCATTATCGCGGTGCAAGATGATACGGCATTTACGGGTATTTGTACGGAGTTTGTCAATAACTTCCGGCAAACAAATGGTCGTGTACCAATCACTATTCACGGTACAACGATTCTCCAAAGCAACAGTAGCCACGTGTCCAGTTTTATTAAAAAAAGAAGTAATAAGCGGATGTGCTTAGAGGCACTTTGCACGCCCGCCACTTGGTTGGTTTCGGCTCATCTCGAAAGACCCATATGCTCGATTGCTGCTTTGTTTTGGGATTGTAACTATAAATCCATGTTTCGTCACCTGTTACTATGTTCCACACCAAATTAGACGCCCCTTCGTTGAATCTGGTAAGCATGGCACCCAAATGTTTGTGTAGTATTTATTGTATTTGACTCATGCCTATGCCTAAAGATGCCCGAATCTCATGGTATGTCACATGCCTGTCTGTTTTGATCATACGGCGCACAGCATCGATATTTTTGTTGTTCACAGCAGTGGACGGGCGACCATCACGAAATTCGTCACTGAGATTCGCACGACCGCGTTTGAATTTTGCAAACCAGCTATAAATAGTCGTCTTGCATGGTGCTTCATCGCCAAGCAATTTGAAGCCGAGCGAAGCTCCGCTGAGCTGTTATATTACACTTAAAGTCATAGAAAATCATACTACGAAAATTTTCACGAGTTAAATCCATGGTGATGTAGACAACCAATTTCTAAAATGACGCCACAATGTAAAAACAAGTGACAGGCAGATGAAAGAAACTGTATTCTACAGCCAAAAAGTTCCATTTTCAAATATTGTAATTACTTTTTAAATATTGTTTATGTAAGTGGCCAGTTCCGGAAACTTATAGTGCGCCCTATGTAAAATAATTTAACTGCCTCAGTGGCAGAACGGTTACCATACTGGTCTGCCACACAGAGGCCTCAGGTGCGATTCCTGGGTGGGAAAATTATTTTATGTGTGTATACATGGCACCCGCGATGCCGGGTTTGCCTAGTGCGGGGCTTCGAGTAGTATGCGTTATTATTACTATTATTAATTTTACACACTCGCCTCTCCATGGCCTAAGAGATTAATTTTGGATTTTTAAATGGGAGAGGCGGTATTCCCCGGCGACACGCCGCAGAAACCCAACCGCCTCAAGGTACTAGCGAGGCTGACTGGAATTAACCCGTTGTAAAACACTTGGGATTATTTCAGTGGAGGTCCAATCCCACATGTCGGTGATCTCCTGCACCAGATGGATTATTACTATTATAATTTTTCAGGGCTACAAACTTCACAAACCAAGCAAAGCAACGCAAAGCGACACAGAGCAGGCGGCCATTGGTGCAGCCATAGAACTACGCTTCGCATATTCACTTCTGGAAAAATTGATCCAGTACATAGACAGGGCTACCATTAATATGAAGTTGCTGAAGCCTTCCACGACCTTCAGCAGGCGGTCCAGCTTTAAAACTAGTACGAGGGACATTAAATTCTTTTCTAAGGTAAGTTCTCATTTAAATTTTTATTGAATGTCCGCATGTTTAACCACTTTGATATTAAACAAACCAATGTTTCGGGCCCTTTGAAAAAACAAATACCCCTTTACGTAAAGTATCGTATGTCGAAATTGCCAAGTTTGCAGGGGAGCGTTTTAAAGTTTTGAATTCACTGAACTAACACGTGACTTTATTTGTCAGTTTTATTTGGCAAAACTCACACAGATAAACAGATAAAATCCTAGATATCGGTTAGATGAACAACCACAATTTATTTTATCATTTTACAATTTAATTTAGCATTTCTATGCTAAAGTCACGTGTTATACTCCAAAACTTAACGCTCCCTTGTAAACTTGGCAATTTCGACATTTGACACTTTACGTAGGAGGAGTCGTTATACGCGATTTGAATCCGGAAAAAAAAGTTTCGTTTCCCATGTGTAACAATCGCGAAAATCTAAGAACTCGATATGTACACCAGTACGGACTGGACGTTGCAGTCAACCGTGATCATGGGACCTGTAAAGGGGCCGAAACGTTGATTTGTTTAAAAAAACAAATATACGCGATTTAAATCCGGAAAAATAGTTTCATTTCCCAGTTGTTGTTTATATTGTTAATACTATATTATTAACCTGACAAATTGTTAATATTTTAAAAAAAACCCTGTATAATCTGAGTGGAGTCTTAATGGAATTACAATAGCTACTGATTTCAAGAGAATTAGCAGACTTGGGGACGTGGAAGTAAAATTTGGTGAAAACAAATCTTCAGAATAATTACTAAAGAGTATGTCTTTGAAAATCTTTTTTTTTGTTTACTTATTTAGAATGTTGATCTATAGTTCTGACTGTTATTTGTTTTTAACAATTTCAAGCAATACAAGATGGAAATAAAGTATGTGAAGAAGGTAGAATTCATTTTCGTCGCATATTTGCTACCCCATTGTCAACCGGAGCCCATATCTCATGCATCCCTTGAAAACATCATACTACATACCTTGGCTTAAAAAAACGAGGCTTTCATCGAAGCTTGCTTGATTATAGCTTTACCTACATACAAGTTAATAGGATTTATTTGAGATTGAATTTCTTATTAATAAATTTATTTCAAGTACGGGGGAGAGTTGAAAGTTTTGAAAAACTCCCCCTTGAAGAGCCGTGATTTGACTTACCGTGTCGCAAGCAGAGGTCGTAGGTTCGAATCCGGTTTTGCACCTCTGAGTTTCTCGGAGCTTATGTGCGAAGTTTAGTTACCATGAGCTTTTCGGAGAAGGAAAACATCATGATGAAACCGCACGTCAAAGAAGGTTCACAACTCTCGGAAAACGTGTGAAGTCCACAACGCGGATCCCTAAGGGGTCCGTGTAATGAAAGCTGGGGGTCCAAGGCGGGCCTACGTAACAGAAAAATGTATTGTATAAAAATTGCCATACAATATGTTGTGGTTAAATAGGCACTGTACCCGTGACCTTTTTGGATTTTCGCCCTGAGAGACGAGCGAACGAGACGCGCGAGCTTTTCAGAAAGGGTCCGTAGGTTCTTTGAAATTTTTAGAAAGGTCCATGACTAAAAAAAGGTTAAGAAACCATGGCCTAAACCTTCGTTATTCCTCGTGTAATTTTCATTAAAGTAAATAAGCCTGTAAAGAGGCAACCCTATTTTCTGAATCAATAGTTTCGAAGCTCATTGTCATAGCCAACTTTCATAATAGCAGTGTCATCGTACTAGCAACACTTATGTCAACTTTCGTCACTACAGATATAAAATATTAACAGGTGGTCCTACCTCTAATGGAGAAATACTTCTCAACCCATCGCAACTACTTCATCGCCGTTGCCACTGCGACCAACAACATAGGAGCCGCCAGCTTGAAGGAAAAGGAAATGGTCGCTGCACTGTTTTGCAAACTCGCCAGTTTATTAAGATCTCGGTAAGAAACCTTTTAATGGTCTACGTATTTTATTGTGGTGATGTCGCCATCTCTGAGCGTCATCGATCATCATCGGTTTGATCCTCGGCGAGGTCAATGTAGAAAACGAACTTTTTGTATGTGAAGTTATCTAAAATGTATTATTATTATTTATTTATTAATATGCAAGTCAAGAAAGTAATACAAGTTTTTGCGCGAACAGGGGTACAGGGAATACTCGATCGGTTTGTTGAACATTTAGAATTATTTGTTGTTTGTTTCTTACACATTTATAATGATTTGGTATTTTTGGGAAGACGACAGTCGACTTGGTGTAAATAGACCGTCAATTTCCCTGCGTTCGCCAACTGAATTTGCTCACCCAAGAGGTGACAGTCGACTCTGTGTAAACAGATCGTTGACTGCCCCACGTTCGTCAACCGAATTCGCTTGCCGAAGAGGTGTTAATCGACTCAATGTAAACAGTGCGTCGACTGCCCTCTTCAATCGAACCCCGGAGCAGTAGATGCGCTCTTTACACTTATTCGACTGCTGCCTCTTCGGCGAGGCGAATCAGTCGATCCAGTATAAACACGCCATTCATTTCATTGTCTGGCAGATTTCAAACACCAAAAATTTGTTCGCAGTCTAGCAGCGTTCGGTCCAGATGTACGCATAACAGTCCGATGCCTCCAAGTCTTAGTGAAAGGCATCGACGCGAAATCGCTTGTCAAGAACTGCCCCGAGTTCATCCGCACATCCATGCTCACATTCTTCAACAACGTTGCCGATGATGTTGGGCATACTATACTGAATTTGCAGGAGGTTTGTATCATGCACATTGCACTTATGTACGGATATTTAATATATTATACTCTGTCCAACCATTTATTTATTTATTTAAACTTTATTGTACAACACACTCAAGAACAAATGGCAGACTTAATTCCATAAGGCATTCTCTGCCATTCAACCATTGGGCCAAACAGAAAAAAAAACCAACAGGTTGGTGCTACACTTAAACAAGAAGAACAATATATTAGAAGCTAATCGATAATTTGTATGGTATATATAAATAACATAATATAAACATACTTATTACACATACATAATAAACGTGTAAGTTTATTACATTATTTATTATATATATATATATATATATATATATATATATATATATATATAATATAATATATATACCCAAAGCAACATTATACAGAGTCTTGATTTTGACAATTGTCAAATGCTTGCGCAACATGCGCTTGAAAGATAATTTGGTCGAGCTTGTCTTAAATGGAGCGGGAGCGCGTTCCAAAGGGTAAATTTAGAATTAGAGTTAGACAAAAAATCAGGGCACTAAGAAGGAATAGAGAGCTTCCCGGCCGAGCGGTTTGAAATTTAAATAAACATTTAAGATAATCAGGTGCAGCCGGGTCGAACAAGATGGAGAAAAGAGTACTTAAATTCTTAAGGACCTGCGTTCACGGATGGGAAGCCAATTTAGTTGACGACGAAAAATAGAGATGTTGAGAAGTAGAGGTTTGTTTTTGGACATACTTCCGCAGACCAAAAATAAACCTCATGCAGTTGTTAAGAAGACAGACTGTTCAAAGAGACTTGAGAGATGTTACCATAGATTTAGTATATAGGTACCATGGATGTTACTGCAACACACGTCAGCAAAATCAATCACAGGCAACACAAGAGCTTGAACAAGGAGAGTTTTGGTTGTAATGGGAAGAAAGTTCTTAAACCTGTTTATTCCACTTTTGACGTATGTATGCCTCCGCAGTTCCGTAATTATTAACATACAATATTATGCTGACGCTTCCTTTTGTTAACGCTCAAATTGTCACCAAGTATTTTTTTAAATATTTTTATTTTTGTACAAAAGTATAATATAGTCCTGCGAGATTGTTAGCTTTTTTACAAATAACCTTAGAGGATGAAAAAAAAACCCTCTATAATGTAATAGCAATATTTTTTTTTTCACAGGGCAAATACTCGCATCTACGAGGCACCCATCTAAAGACGTCCACGTCTCTGGCATATATCAACGGAGTGGTACTACCAGTTCTCACAGCGCTCTTCGACCATTTGGCTAACTGCGAGTATGGAGCTGATTTACTATGTAAGTAAGGGTACAAAATATTATTTTATCCAATTAGGCTGAACTATTAGACATGTGCATCATCGGCGACGTCGTCTGGTGATTTTTCGACCGGGCCTGAAATCGGCGTGGTGTATATTTTTCATTGTTTTTGGTGTTTAAAAGAAAGACTAGATAATGTTAAATCAATTGTATTTGTAATCAACGGTTTTTACGTTTTATACTCCGTCCAACCATGTACTCAACTTTTGACATATGCATGCCTCTGAGGTTCCGTAATTATTGACATACAACCATCATCGAGTATATAACCAGAAATAGAGACGAAATGTCATTTAATTTGTTTGAAAATTATTCTGCCATATCATTACTGCCGTATTTTTATTTAACGAGAAATTATTTCCGAAGTACTATTAAATAAAAAAATAAACAAAATACTTAAGAGATTTATGTAAATAAATAAGTTCAACTTAACTTGGAATCATTGCAAATTAATATTTAGACATTAAATTGGAAAATAATATTGTTTCCACTGCGTCCGAGTAACTATTTTAAGATTGCTAAATTTGACATAAGAACAATATTACTTTAATGCTAAAATCGCGTCATAGTACGAACTGAGTGAATGAATATTCACAAAGCTGACAATAAAATATCATAGTTTTAACATTATAATAAACTTCCTTTGAGCGCTTTATGTTACGAAAAGTCAACGTAAAGTTAAAGTAATATTGCTTTAAGAGTTTGTGGTAGGCCCCTGGTCGTGAATCGTTCTATATGTTTTCGGATACTGAAGAACTGTCATCCATACGACCACCAGTATCTACATCTTTATCCAAATCATCTATTTTATCATCATGAACATAACGATATGCCTCCGTACAATGCGCTCTACATTCTCTATCGAAATTCCTCTTCTGACTAACGTTACAGTCGTAAGTAGAACAAACTTGACTTGTCGCGTAGTAGCAGGCACGTTTACATTTTTCCGCCGAGGCTTTTTGACATGCCATCTCGAATTTCTCTCGTAGAACGTGCAATTGATTTTTTTGCGGTGATATTGTTACATTTCTTGTAGTTTGTTGCTGTAAAAAAATGTGATGTATCAAGCAATTGAAACATTTTTTATTTTATTATACCGAGTCGTGCGTCTGGTAGTGAGCGACACGCCTGTCCATAACAATTGCAGTGCCAGTCAGAGCTTTCAATCACGAAGATCTAAAGGGCACTGTACAGCACCCTTGCCCTTCAAAACGGGAACGCAATAATGCTCACATTACTGGCAGCAGAAATAGGTAAGGTGGCAGTACTTCCCTAGACGAGCTCTTTCACAAGGAGCTCTGCTGCTTCCAATCCTAATTCTTCTGACTGAATATAATTGTAACAATTTTTTTAATCGATCTCACACGAAGTATCCTTACTTCGTTTGAGGACGGTTTGCGTTGGGCCGAAAAGTGTTTTATACAAAAGAGATCTTAACTAAAAGAATTTAGACTACGTCCGATGTTAGGAACGTTGGGCCGAAAAGTGACTTATAATTTATGAAAGTAAAATTTGAAAAAAACGATGTTTTTTTGATAAAGAACAAACGAATATAGAATAACACACACACAAACACACACGCACGCACGCCGCACGCGCGCGAGTTAAGGTTAATGAACGTGGCTCCTTCCGTTTTGTCAGCACGCCTAACTGTGCCAGTTGCTCGCATGCTGACAAATGAATAAAATAATATATAAAGTCTGTAAACTAGTTTTAAGATTGATTATTGTCTATTATTAGAACTAAGCAGTCACTCTGTCAGTTTGAATATTTTTTTTTTTAAACTAATCTTCTGGCCAGTCGCTTATTATCGCGCGTATACACACTCAGACTCGCACTAGGGAAACACTGTATCGCGGATGCCGTAGACACACACTGTTGTCTATCCTCAAATTACACCCAAACTCACGAGAGAAATAAATGTAGGCTATACAAATATTTCTCCCGGTCCGGGAATCGAACCCGGGACCTCTGCGTGGCAGTACAGCATGGTAAACGTTCGGCTACAGAGGCAGACAGAATAAGTAAAATAACTGAAATTAAGTAAGATAAAAAAGCCGTTTAGAGGGTCTTGTAGATCTTATTTCAAATGTGTTTGAATGATAATGACTCACTTACCGCTGTTGGCGTGTGCTTGTGTCGATTCTTTGAAGGCAGACACGCCGCGGCCAGGTACCCACTCCTCGTGATATCTATGAAGTCATCTGTAAATCACCTTACTTATATAATTTGTGACAACGATAAACAGGTTTTGCACCTGGTGGTACGCGACACGCCATAACAATTGTAGTACCACTTAGAGCTTGATTGAAGCTCTGAACGGCAGTGCCACTGCTCCCGTGAGACATGAGTTGACAAGTCCCATGTGTCTGTCACATTACGGCTTGGCGGTAGAAATATACCTATTTCTGGTTCAGGTGGCAGTACTTTCCTGAACTAACATTTTCACAAGGAGCTCTACTGCTACTAGAATTTAATTTAATTTAAACATAAATTATTATTAACAACTTTAGCACGGGCGATAAAATTAGCCCCAGCTAATTCAGAGCTGTGCCATTCGAATTGGAATTTGTCATTAGATAACATCGGGTGGGATAAGAGGAACACACTTTAATTTGAGTTAAATGTTTTAAGCTCTAGGAAGAACAGATAAAGTCTTATAAGAATTTTGAAGTACAAGACTTGCCTTTGTGTAGTCATATTGGCTTTATATGTTTCAACAATCATACGCTAATTTCTATACTTACGATATTTTTGTCGAAAACATACAAATTGTGATGACGTTTCTCTTCCCCCAAAAGATGAAGAGAGGAACAGTCTGAAGAAAAAAAGTCGTAAGTGCCGAGGCCGAACCCCGAAGCGTCCGCATGCCACTGTACATAGGTAGTGTACGGAGGCTCTATTACTATTACAAGGTGTCACAATAATTGTTCAAAATGTAAGGCATATTTCCCGATATCGTGAATGAGATACTTAAAACTTTATTGAACCTCGACCGTCTCTTTGTTAGATTTTTTTGTCTTGGGAGCTATGCCAAAAAGTAGTATTTAGGGGGAAAAAATGCCAAAGGATCACACCAAATTTCTGGTCTCAAATTAGGGACTTTCCTGTACTATGAATACCAGAAATAACTCTGAGGGCAATACCTAGAATACCCAGACCAGAACCCACTTAGTAATGTTCGTTTCCTAGACTTCCCTAAATCGTTTCTTATGAAGGTAATATACCCCTCGTGATCTCAAGATTTCACAACTGTCAAATTTGTTTTTTCCGCCTTTTGTATTTGGAGCATCATAGCGACATCTATTTAAAATCGTTTAAACTAATTTGTCTGTTTTATCAACTGAGAGACTATAGTGCTAAACTCTTTAGATTATGACTTAAGGCTTCAAGTTCCTCTTCCCCCGGTGTTCCTCTTACCCCACCTGACCATACACAAACAAAAACATACTATCGTCGTCTTTGTCACCAGGTTTAACGCTGCTTTTCTTATGAATGACAGTCTCGTCGTTAAATTCCGTCGTGCATCCCTCGGTAGAATGGTCCTTGAACGCGTTTATGAAGTCTTGTTTGCAATCATACTTCATACAACATGTTTTTATAACTTTCTTGCATGCCTGGAAAAGTATTGTTGTGTTAAGACTGGTATCATTGAGCGGTTTCAACTGTACCAGAGTTACTCCTTAATTCTCTGTATACATATCGAGTTCTTAGGTTTTCGCGATTGTTACACATAGGAAATGAAACTATTTTTCCGGATTTAAATCGCGTATATTTGTTTTTTCAAACAAACCGACGTTTCGGGCCCTTTACAGGTCCCATCCAGTCAACCGTGACCATGGGACCTGTGAAGGGCCCGAAACTTCTCACAATTATGAACATTGTATGATTTTTTCTTTCACCTGTTTACATACTTCCTTATTAGTAGGTAGATTTAAAAGTTTAGGGACGCGGACGTCAATGAATTTTCATACTTATTTTGCAGGTTTTGACTGAGAAGAAGTAGCACGATCCATAAATTCAAACTTTCCGTGTTCGTTTTTTGGAAGTAATGCAAACATTTCCGAGCATGTTTGAGAAATAATTATTTGAACTTTCTGTTTATCATTACATAAAAAAAATGTTTTGACTAAAAGATCTATCTTACCTTATAGCATTTCTCGACAACGACTTTCAAGCACGCGTCACCATAAGCCTTGCGAAGTATGCTCGTCTTAAACTGCTCCTTTTCAATTGTCTTATCATTTTCCGCTGACCATTCTCTTAAGTCCTTTGGTAATTTCGCCTCTTTCGATTGCGCTCGAAACACATGATTCGTTGTCTTCGTTTTGAAATAAAATTATTGTCTTTAAAAGTCTATTGTAGCCTCTCAGTTTGTAGTTATTCTAAAGTACAAACAGTGTAGCTGTGCGGCCCGTGGCGCGCCGTGTATGGACTCACACATTCGTATAATCTCACGGTGCACTCGCGTTGCACAGCGCGGGCAACCGCACGCGGTATTACATCAATTTGCCAAGTTTTATTGAAATCGGTGACCGGAAAGTGTGAAAAACTGGATTTTTCCACTGGTTTGCCGCCCTTAGAGGCGGAATATTTTCTTCAAATTAAATGGGACCAATACTAAGGTACCTTCTTTCCAACAAAAAAGAATCATCAAAATCACATACACACACAAAAAAATCAATCGATTTGAGAACCTCCTACTTTTTGAAGTCGGTTAAAAATGACGTAAAATAGTAGACGTGTTTATTATTTGTGGTTAATGTGATCAAGAGTGCCTCAAATTCAAAATTGTTCAGCATTTAATTCCTACATATTTCGTAGTCCATAATCAAGACACCAATCCGCGATGCTGGTATAAAAATATTTAATACGTAAGTTAGGTAGGTACCAGAGGCGAGGCGTGAAAATAATCGCTGGTAAAGCTAGCCCAAAACAAAAAACAACTAAATTAACAAAAACTTCTTTTGCCTTTAAAA